TAAAACAAGAAAGAAGCAAGCAACAACAATAGAAAAGGACAGATGAGACCCCCAAAAGTAGGTTTCTATACTGTTGGATCAGCTAGAGTTAGGTAAAAAACCCCCGAACCAACCCAAACTTGACCTTTTAAGGGCTTGTAAGGGGATGTCTTCCCATGTTTTGGAAGACAAGCTCTGAGCTGCAGATATGCAGTTTGGGAGAGGTTATCTAGAACCCTTACAGAACACTTGAGCGTTTGCAGTTTTGCATCAACACTGTTGAGTAAACTGGAGTAGGAACCGTGTGTAGGCGTGATGTCTTTATAGTTCTTGTGCTGTCCAAAATGAAGTATAATTGCTGTCAGAAAATGTCTGTAATATCTGCCTTGTTTTCCTCAACTTCCACGTTACAAAAGCTAAATTATAAAGCAGAATGGGGGAAAGACCTTGCTTTGGGAAGGCAAGCTCAGAGGAGTCTTACCAGATAAATACATCATTAGATTGGCCTCTGCCTCTTTGTAGAGGTAGAGAGTTTGGAGCTGGTTGCAGATTCATAAACCCCATCTAGCTCTTTCAGGACTTTAGGAAGGGGGGTGTGCTCGAAGAGTTCCGTTCATCAAGCACAGCTTAATGACTTTAGGCAAAGAAGGGTGACTAGCAAAGTTCTTGAAATTAATTAATATCTGCCTAACCACACTGGGCTGGGGTCCTCTGTGCGTACTGAAGGACGGAGGAGTCGCATTAACGCCTGCTGCCTTTGTGGAAACGGCTCTCCTGTGTTTATAAACTTGGTGTTTATCCTCACGTTTGGGTCAGTAAGGAGGCACTGCTTCTGTGAGATATTGATTTGGCATGTCCTCAATTTGTCTTCATTGCACTGCTCCCATGACACTGAGTTGCTTCCATCTATTTTGCAATGTCTGCTAAGCTCGTTACAAGAGAGATCAGTGCATTTTCCAGTGATGCTTTGCTGCAGCTGCAGGACTTACAGTGCTGCCGGGGTTTGGAGTCAGCCCTTCTCCTGAGATCAGTTGCCTAACACTGGGGTAGAAATACACTATGTAATACTGAATCAGGTTCTGCATTTTTAAAAGAGGTGCAGACGCTAATTAATTTTCACAGAGCCCCTGCAGATAGAGAAGCCAAACTGCTGAAAGTCGCATGGTGAGACAGAAATGTGATTAGGATTTCGTGTGAGACCTCCTCCCTTTCAGTCCCGTGCTCTACCTCTGTAGTGTAGGATGCCTTGCCAAAGTAGTCCTGAGCACTCTCTGATAGAAAAGCTTTTGTTCATAAACAGGCAAGAGTGAGGCCTATTACCATGCAGTCTTACATTGTCTGTTCTTTACAGTAGTTTATTTTTGATAAGCTAAAGCACATTTTACTGTAATTGTTAACACGCCTAATTTGCAATCACACAGTCGTATCAATAATAATGGAAAGCTGTTCACAGGTAATAAATTAGCATACCATATAACTAGCAGAACTATGGTTCTCGGTATATTGTTTCATGATCAAGAATTCAGTATTTAAATATACACAGCAGTGGGCTGAGAACAAGCTGTTCATTTTTGCTGCAAGCAGTACCAGTGGACCAGAGTAATCATAACTCCCAGAAGCAGGACTGATTTTATTGATTTTAAATAGGCTTTCATTATAGAACTGAGCCTCTTACAATTGCAAGGAGTATCATTGCCATTGGTATTCACAGCACTGACTGAAGGGAAGGACGTGTATTGTTGAATGCAGCTTGGAGGATGCTTGTCCCTCAGAGTATTATATTCTGTTCTGCTGAAACGTCTGAATTTATTTACAAGAAAAGTACTTAAGGCTCTTTTCCTATGTGGTTAGATTGAATTTTTTTTAGAAATGTGGTTAGACCCAACTACAGTTGTGAAATTTTAAACTCTCAGGACTTTTCTGAGGAGTAAAGGTCTTGCTTATTTATTGGCATCTAACTTAGGGACAAGCTGTATTTTGCTCCATTTTTTTAAAGGACTCTTTGGAAATGTTCATCTCTCTCTTTTTTCTGTAGATTAATGTAAAAAAGACAAATATAAGATCCGGTGAATAAGCTGTTAAGTCTGAGATATTAATGTATTCAAGTTATAATTAGTTAAGAACACATGCTGTTACCAGAAATGCGTCATTAATCTGCATGGAGCAGTTTGCAGCTATTTGCTGCTAAATTAGTGACACTTAAAAGCAGTCTTTTTTTGTATTGTTTTGAACAGTAAAGAAAATTTTAAATCTGTGACCAAAAAAAATATATGCACACTTAAGAAGCAATCTGTTTTGTTACTTGGGTTTGTTTGTTTTTTGGTTTTTGGTTTTCTTTTTAAATTTACACAAAGGCTTGTTAGTCAGTGGACATAAACAGAAGTTTGTTGAAGCTGCCTTAATTACCAAATGCAGTGCTGTTGAAAACGTTGCACTATAATTTATGGTGGTGTAAAGACATGTTGCTTGTGCTAGGTTCTCTTCAAATCCAGTATTTATAACTACATAGCCCCACTTAAACATTTTTCCAGTGTTACTACCGCAGTTTGGAATGGTGCTAATGGAAATTAATCACAGCTTTTTGTTTTTAATGGGTTTAATATTGACTTGCATACTGCTTTGTAGATTTTATTTATTTATTTATTTATTCATGTATTTATATTAGAGCTACAAGTGAAGGTGAATTACTTCATATATTCCAGCTAAAACCACATTTTTGTTTTGGGGCAGTCTTTCATAACATGATTCGGGAATTCAGGCAGGAGAGAGCATAAAAACTTTGTGTGAGCATTTCTAGAAATTGGCTCTTTAAATAAAATGGTGACGTTAAGTAGTGAATCAACTTTGTAAGCACTGAATGATCAAGCCTAGTTACTGTAAAATAAGATCTGGCTGGTTTACTTCATTTTACAGAGCTTGGGCAAATAACTATTGCATTAAATTGCTTCCTGTTGGTTTCCCCCAGGGCAAGAAGAACCTGCTGTACTGTGCTCTGCTGAGCTGCTATATTGATTAGTTCCTCAGGTCTAATCTTTACATGGTTATGCTTACTTTCGAGTGTGTTTGTTTATGGTTTTGGTAGTTGTTTTTCTGAAGTTATTGTATTGCCTTGATAGTCCTCTGGTGGATTATAAAAGTGTACACATTAATTCCTTTCTCTAACTTCATTTTTGTAGCCAAATGAAGATAATCAGCATTCATGTAGCGTGCTGGTTAGGAGTGAGGGTAATGATCACTCACATAATTGATACCGCGTATCATTGACAATCAAAACTCACGTTGTCAGGATGGTTGGCACCTAAAACTAATCTAATTAAATGCTTTGCAGCTTCTATTAACAATACTATATTACATTCTTTATCAGAGCAGCTATTGTGATTTTAGAGTTTGCTTCTGCAGGTGGGAAAGTGATTTATAGTTTTAATTCATCTTAATAATTTGTGTGCTTAGGAAACACTTGATATAAAACTTTTTGTTGCATTTAAATTTCCTTGTTATCTGCCTTGCAGTGGCATGAATAATAGGGAGTCCAGAACATGAATATATTGGAATGCATGAAGTATTTTCAAGGAGAATGCTTTTAAGGTTCAGAATGATATATGTCAAATGTTACTGAATGGATAAACGTGGAGGGATTTTGCCTTGAGAAGCTTGGAAATCAGGCATCTCTTAGTACAGTACCTCCAATAGCTGAGTTAAAAATGCATTTCTGTCTTAATACAGGAAATAGAATATTTATTTCATAATATTTATTCTATCCTAAGATCCAACTTTTTTTCTAGTTGCTGAAATTTATTATACTGGAAATTTGAAATGACGCTGTGTCAGAGCTGGTCTGCACCAAAAATTGCCACACCTCCAAACTTATGTTTAATCATCTGTGAAATATTTTTATGTAATACAAGCCTAGAAAGCCTGTGTTTGTTTGAATGAAAGTATCCGTATCCTCTGTGCCACTTAAACAGTAAATTTGTCAATTTAACAACAGATTCTCATGTTCTCTTTTCTTGCATACTTGCGTAGAATATTGTGATTCAAGGTGTGACCTAATCCAAACATCGCTGGAATCAGATTTCCACAGACTTCAGAAAAGGATAACAATGTTAGCCTTTTCTAGGCACTGCTTAATGATACGTTAATATTAGGATCTCAGACTTTGCAAAATACCTGGCAGTATTATGATAAATGTGCAAAGTGACAGTATCCAGTGTTATTAAAAATCTTACAGGCACCTGGCAGGTCTTTATGGTTCAAGAAGCTGCTGTGGTCCATGGAGCTGCAGAGATCATGAGTGATGTTTTTCTTTGGTTGTTTTTTTTCTTTTCCCCTTTCCCCCCCCTCCGTTTTACTCTGTAAGGATGTCAGGATTGCTTCTGTTTGGAACATAGGTCTTGGTGCAATTACTTTGTCACTGTGTCTTGCTGCACTTTCTTGTTACTAAGATACTGTTGCACTCACATTGCCAAAGATTCAAGTGATGCCTCACAAACAGATGAACATGTTTTCACAGCTACTGCCCTTGCTCTACATTACCTGCCCTTTGGAGATGGGGATTTCTTCTTTTAGGACCACATCCATAGCTTTGCTTACATGTGTTCAGAGCAAGGAATGGAATTTATTTTCCTTGATGAGCATTTGTTTGTTGTGCGTTCAAGACAAAATGTGATCTGATTCATGTTTTAAAAACCGTGCCAGAGTATAAGCCGTCAAACAGTATGCTGGTTATATGGTTTGTTGTACAGGCCATATGGCATTAATAGCATGGTTTTGTTCTAAATAATGACATATTTGTGCAGCTAATAAGTAGTGTATATTTATCCTTTAACTTCCTTGAACAATTCTTTTTTGCAAGGTTGCTTTGTGAAAATGCTGAATTGACTCTCGTTTTATTATTCACTAGTTATGAACAACTTCTCATTGTTTTATTTTAAGAGTCTAACATGGAAATGCTTTTTACCTTAAACACTAAAAAGCACAATAAATGACACATGATAGAATAGCGATGTGTTTTTCTTTTACAGAGGCAAAGGAAATTGTTCTGAAGGCACAGATTCTGGCTGGAGGGAGAGGAAAAGGTATTTTCGATAGTGGATTGAAAGGAGGAGTTCATCTAACTAAAGAGTAAGTCTTTAAAATTGAAAAAGCATAAATAAATTGCTTCTGTTGTAATATTTAAGCTGTTTACAATAGCTATGTGACTGTTTCTTTTAATATCTTTCAATAAACTAACCTTATTCCTTTGTTTGTAGCCCTAAGATTGTTGAACAGCTTGCTAAACAGATGATTGGGTACAATCTGTCAACAAAGCAAACTCCAAAGGCTGGTGTGACAGTTAAAAAGGTAAGATTTTTGCCTCTTGGAAGTGGAGAACTGTGTTCAGCTGCAATTCTGCATTAATATGCTGGGGTGTATGACACATTTATTTTTTTCATTCCTTCTCCAATGCCGGATTGATTGCATCTAGTTGATGAAAGAAAAAAAAAACATTACTTTTTCTTTCTTTGTGCGTATGTATTTTTGTCCATCAATTTCAGCATACCTAGTGGTGGAAAAATAAATTCATTTCTGCTGCCTGTGTTGAAGGGAATCCTTTTTCATAGGTTCATCCTTCATCAAATACATACTAAATGCTAGCATAACTGTGTATAGCATTAGCTGTACATGCTTATTGACATTCTGCTTAGAGAACTAATATATGCATGATTACCTGTAGTAATAGTATTATCTGTATTTCATTCACTCTCAGCTTTGGGCAACTGTTATTAAAGATAGGGACAGATGATTTTGCATGAGAATGATCTCAATTTATAAAAAAAAAAAAGTGTCTAGAAGTAGATTCTTCCTAACTTGTTGCAAATATATAGTAAAATGTGTCGGTTCAGCTAATACATGGTAATTCATTTACGTATGATGGTGCATACTGCAAGGTGCCAAGATTTACTTCAGCCTAAATGTATTGCTTGGTATTGGCCTAAATAAGAGAAGCATAGATAGCCCATCAGCAAGATTCTCCTTTACCTTAGTAAAATTCTCTAAGTCAGCAAATCCTAGCAATTGCCTATGTACTATATATATATTTTTATCTCTTGCTTTGTTTTACTGAGCAAGGATCTTCATACAGGTATGTAGTCAAGAGCCACACTGTATTTGATGCCAGGAGATAATTTGGCATGAGCTGAAAAGAACTGCAGTTCACTTTTAATATATTGTGAACAGCTTGGTATATTAGCATAGAAGGGGAACACCTGTCTGGAAAGATACTGTCTAATGAGAGCTGGAGGAAGGTGCTCAGGTGGTTCTTCTCTTGGGGAGCAAGGAGAGCATATTACCATCACTCCTCATAGTTGTTGTTAGAAAGAAATATTAGATATTAAAAAGAAGGAACAGTATTACCATTAAGGCATGTCTGTCAGAGATTGTGATAATAGTAAGGATATAAAAAAGGATATACATTTCCCATATTAAGGCACTCTGCTTTGAAAAATTTGTATTGTAAAAGCAGCTTTCTTTTATAAATTCTTTGGTTTTATTCTTTTGCCCTAGTTGACCTACTTTGAATACAGCAATACAGGAAATTTCACTCTTTTGTCTGAGTGCAGGTCTGTTCATTCATTTACATACTCAGTTCTGAAACAGAAACTTGTAATTTTCTTCAAAATTGATAGAAATGAAAGAAAGGTATGGGTGTTGAGGTTTTTTGAAATGGATTATTCAAAGGATTTATATTAAGATGACTTTTGTATCATGTATAAAATAGCTATAGAAGATTTAACTTGTAATTGCTTTAGTCCCCATCTACATTTTGCTTGTATGAATAAACAATGGTCAAGAGTAAGCAGCTATGGCATATGTGAAGTTTAAGGTGAAGTTTGCACTATTGAACTTCAAATATTTATTTTGGTGGTACAGGAAAGTATATAGTCTTGATAGACGGTGTATTTTTCCTTCACTATAGAGTTACATGGAAACTTTTCAGGACACAGCTTGCAAGTATTTTAATATTGATGCATGATAAATTGGTGTAGTGCTTTTCACTGGGAGAAGCTGATCGTCTGTTGTCATAGACTTCCATTCTGATTATAGAGTTGGCTTTTAAAAGCCCTAGGCGAATTCATATCTTTATCACATACATATGTAACAAGGTAACAGTATGTTTTATGATATTTTTGGTGTTGAGATCTTTATTCTTGGTAATCTATGGTAAGAGCATACACCCTATTTTAAATTAATTATATAACAGTTTGGCCAATGGTATGCTAATGTTTTCCCCATCGCTTGTTAGACAGTGAAGAAAGCATGTTTAAAATGATTCATCTAGGTCATCGAAAGACCATGTCCCAGAAAAATTAATGTATTTTAAAAGCGTTTCTCTTTTCCAAAGTTAACTACTTTGAAGATCCTAGAGTGAGCTAAAGGAGTTGAGGCATTCAGGTGTGTAGTATCAAGACTACAATGTCAAACACTGAAATTGTAATCAAGGAGCAAAATACAGTAATATGATTAAAAGTATGAGTTTAGCTGTGTCTAAAATGTCATTTAAGGCAGTGCACAGAAAATGCTGGACAGACTCTTCAAGCTTGTTGAGAGCAGTGGGGAATTAGAGAATTAATAGCAGGCATTTTTGTTCTATTTCGAGGCATATGCTCTCTCTGTATATGTAGGGATATGTGTGTGAACATGTACTTAAAGAAAATTGCAGTTCACAAAGAAAAGAAAAGGCATGTTTTTAGGTTTTGTGGGTTTTAAACTTTTTGGTCTTCTGGAAAGTTTGCGTGAACTCATGTTTTAAAAAAATTAGGTAATAAACGTCTTTTAGAAGGAAAATAGTTATTAAGTCACTTTCTGCAAGGGAAACAATGAGCTAGTATCAAGTCAGGGAGTGGAAGTGACATACCTTTTACATGTATTTGTAAGGAAGAAATAAAATGTAGAAATTTTCTGCAATTACAATAATTATGGAGCAGAAAATGGAGTTTTCAGCTTTCTTTCTCAGCTTGTGCACCTACTACAGAATTTAAAGCATGTTTGTGCTTCTTTAGATTGATGTTTCTTAAATAAATAGCAGTCTCAGTTCCTTTGTAATTTGGAAGCTATTTTGAGAGTTTACATAAAATCCTCTTATGGCATCTTGGAATTTGGAGAGCCTGGTTATCTGAGAAGACAGTCTTCTCTTATCACGACAACCTGAGAATTTGCTACCTGTGTTTCCTCTCCAAGCAATAACAGAATTAAGATTTTGAATATTTGATTCAATATAAAAAAGCTGCAATAGTTACCCTCATGAAATTAGATATGTGACTTAAACTTCTAGGTAATGATTTGTTTTTAAGAAGGAAAGCTTGAAGTTATTGGGAAGTTTTAAAGAAAACTGATTTTTCCCCAGGTCATTTTAAATATAAACCTGATGTGGTAAACAGATAATGCTGCTTCACATTCTTTATCAAAAGCAAGACAAGACAAAACATGAGAAAAGTCAACAGTCTGTAGATTCAATTTCACTATTCTTAACTGTTCATTAATGTGTTTGCATTAGTTTTGTCATGTGAATGATAGGTAGACTTTAACAAATAATATTAAAAGACCTTGAAAACCAATTTCCCTGGCTTTGCTCTGCATCAGACAGGGAGGATGATGAAGGAAAGTAACTGTTTTTTGTTGGGAGAAATGAGAGATGTTGCACAGTCTGACAATTTTAACTCTACAGTAAGCTTGCCTACTACAAAGTAGATAGACTCTCAATAGTTTTTTGAATTAAGACAGAGAAGTATTTGACAATGTTGGCATGGTTAATTAGCAATAGTGAGGACAATCACTCAGGTTGGAAGTAGCAGTTGAAAAGATACCTGATTTAATAATGTAAGTTCCACCTGCTGTGCTTGCAAATGTATTCCTCAAGACTTGTTGAGTGGATTCCCATCCTAAGTCTGGCCCTGATCCTGAGCACTGTCACTCTGGAAACTGTCTGAACAACTGAGACAAGATCCAGTAGGACCAGCTGGTTTTATTTGACCTATGTCTAAAGTAATTGACTCACGTTTTTCAGATACACTGATGCAGGATATGTAAGAAGGTGAAAACATGCATGCAGGTAAAAAGACTAATAGTAGCAAATCAAGGATGCTTTCCATAACTTTGCTTCTTAGTTTGACAAATCTTGGCAGGTAGCTGATGAGCTATGTTTCTGAAGTTGGCTTTTAGCATCCCTTTATAGTAGCCTAAAATAGGCAGATGCTTTTAAGTAGTACAGTAGTTTTCTACATTCTTAGTTGTCTCCTTCACCCTAGTTTTCTTTAGTTTGCTTTTGAACAGTCGCCTGTTTGAACTATTCCTTTACATCACCCTATGTTCTATCAATAAAGCAAGATAGAAGGAAACAAAATTACTATAAAGAAAATGTCTTCCAAGTCAAAAAAACCCATAAAGAAATAGCATCTTTCCTTCCATTCTGAGCACAGAGGGCTTTATTTAATTCCTTGTCTCTTACTTTTTTTTCTGTTCTGTTAAGATGTACAGCCTGGCAGAAGGTAAGTACATTCTTTCTTATGTACTCCAGAGTAGAATGTCAAAAAAGCAACTTGGGTGAAAGTATAGTGCATCTTTCTTGTTTATAGTCCTTGAACTATGAAAACGCAGGAATACTTATTTGATGGAACACATCTTGCTGGGTAGGCAGAGTTTTAAGACTGCAGGTGTATACATGCCTCTCGGATCTAAGGAGTTTTAACTGCTGACTGGTAGAATGAATTTCACCCTATGTTTCATTCAGAGTGATGATCTTCGTCTACAATTATTGTTCAAAACTGTCGCTTTATACACAGACCACGTTAGAAAGACAATGCCACTTAATTCTTTTTAATTACATTAATCTTAGGGAAGTGACTTTCCTGATTTCTACTACTTCCATTGAAAGATAGGAAATAGTAGCTCTGCTAAGGAAGAATATAGTTGATTGTCAGAAGGAGAGGCTAAAATGCTAATTAAATTGCAGAGGTGGCTGCTCAACTTCCAGGTTGAAAAGCAAAACCGTAGTGCAGAGCGGAACTACAGTCTTTGCACCTGAGATTATGGCACCTGTTATGATCATAAGGATCTAGTAATGATCATATGCAGTGGGTTTTTTTGAAGATGAAGATATTTGGGGGAATTTAGTATTCTTGCATCAAAACATAGTTTTGTGCGTCCCTTGCCAAGTGTAAAACTACTTAATCTCTGAAATTGCTTTAAAGCTATTGCAAAAATTGACAGCTCAGATGAAGAGGAAAGTATAGTTATTGTAATACTGAAGTGGAGGGGACTTTGGCTTTGGCATATTTTGGGGAGGAGATCAAAAATCGTAACAATGGATTTATATGGGCCATTTTCCCCCCAATTTTAGTGTGAGTTCTTGTAGATTCCAATCATGTAGGATTTGAATCATCTTTTTTGTTGCGTTCTGAGGTATCTGTCAGATATTGGTACGAAAGGGCTCTGTAGTTTATAGTAATAAAGAGAAATTAGTAGCTCTTTGGAAAAATAAATTTTTATGTTTCTAGAATGTGCCAGATCTGAAGGTTACACATCTGCTTGTCTCTCTAAACTGAAAGTAAACAGCTGGATGGCAGAATTATCTGTAAATCCATTTCCTTAGGAAATACTTAGGCAGGGCAGGAATTCAGTGCTGACATTGTAAGTGTAGGATGGCCTTCTGTCAGAATGAGGGAGAGAACTTAAGCCTGAGGCTTTACTGGTAAGGAACGGCGCTGCTGATGCGATGCATCAGAAGGCCAACACACCCTCTCTTACATCTATGTGATTTGCAAGACTGCAGTCCCTTGTGACTCAAGTTTTCTGGGGGCAGCATGTTAAAGTGCTTGTTGGCAATAAAAAGGTAATATGGAAGTCCCCTTTACGGACACAGCAGCAGCTCCGATTGTCTTCTTGGAAAAAAATCCCAACAATTAGGTGTTCCTGGTTTACCCTGCTTGTTACATACCCCAGTGAGAACAGCAGCATCAGGAGAGTCTCTTATTTAGGAATAGAGGATTTCTTGGGGAAAAAAAAAATCACTGGGTTGTAATACCTTGTAAAAGCAGTGAAACAAACATTTCAGGATAGCAAGTATCAAACTGCTGCATTTTAAAGCACTGCAGAAAACATGAGCCATAGTATTGTCTGATCACAGCAGAGGGAAATACTGTCCCTCATTGGTTCAGTTAATTTTTCATTGCTTTTTACATTGCAAAAGATTTTACAACATTCACTACTCTTAACACCTCAAGGAAGCAAAGCTATGTTCAGATTAAATGTCACCAGCTAGATGGACCAGTCAGAACTGTTGCTGGTTTTTTTTGTTCCCTGTATTCATTTTTAGGTGATGGTTGCAGAAGCATTGAATATTTCCAGGGAAACATACTTCGCAATTTTGATGGACAGAGCCTGCAACGGACCTGTTATGGTTGGCAGTCCACAGGGTGGTGTTGACATAGAAGAAGTTGCAGTTACTAGCCCAGAACTTATCTTTAAGGTATTAAAATAATACTTGAGAATAAAAATTTTCCTTGTCAGTTATCTAAAAGAATGTTTCCCCCCTCTTCCCCCCCTTCTCCTTCCATTTTTCCTTCTTCCATGTACGGAAAGAAGACAATAAGAACCATAAAAATTGTGTTTCACCAAATAGGGGGCCAGACCTGTCATCTAGTAGATGAATGAAGCATGTTTAACATCTGATTTTGTTAGTATTTCTCTCTCCAGCTCTATTTAGGAAGAGAGCTTAAATCTGCTTGTTACATGTTATGTTAAACTTAATATCTGAAATGTTTAATGAGTGAGTTTCACTTTCAGGAAAGTACACAGTTTTTTCACAAGTGGGTCAGTGCCAATATGGTTATTGTTTCTGTGGTTGTTTTTTCCTAATTGGCAGAGTTGTTAATTATTTCTTTGTACCTGGATGACTCTTGCATCTGAAATACAACTGTTGTAATTGCTTTCTTAATGGTGACTACATTTAAGTATGTTTTTTTTATGTTACTGTGGCATGATAATGAGTAGACAAGCTATTCATATGGGAAAATAATTGATACAATCAAGTATAATTATTCAAAAATTGTGAAAATATTTAATGTGTATTTTTAAATTGTATAAATTTCATAGCGTTACTGGGCAGTGACACCATTGCCTTGAAAATATTCCAGAAGATGTCATAAAAATTAACAGACTAAATATTCGTCAACGCCATCTGTACAGTAATTAAAAGTGAAAACTGGTGTCACATTGTCTTGTCAGCATGCTACCCTGAAGAATTATATATTTTTTGGAAGGCCTGTTTCATAGTTGGTGTGGTAATTATAACATACCCTATAGGCAGCTGCTATAGCCTCAGTCTCAGAGAACTTTGGCAAACAGCCATGCATTAATTACTAATTTGGAAATGTATACTAAGTGTTTTCCTTTTGAAGTTATAAATCTCCATTCAGATTGAATATTTAGTTATATTTATGCTCGTTATTGTTACAGGAGGAAATAGATATTTTTGAAGGTATAAAGGATCATCAGGCATTGCAGATGGCAAAAAATTTGGGATTCAAAGGACCTTTGCAACAGCAGGTAACTTGACTCTATTCCCTCAGTTTTTACTGAAGACATTTTAGCCCAGCTATACAATTTCCAAATAGACATGAAAGGCTAAGTGTCCATTAGATCAGGACCGTTTTGACATTTGAAATATTAAATTGCACCTATATAATTGTCATCAGGCTTTATCAATTTGAATAAGGTCCTTATTGTTCCAAAGTAAAAGTCCCTAGTCTTTGAAGCAATTGATGACAACATGCTATTACACCACAGGGGATTCTTTTGATTTCGTTGGAGTTCTATTGGAGCTCAGAGAATTACATGGTAGAGCTCTTTTTGAAAATTTGGCCCTTAATATGGGGAGAAGTAAAAGCGTATCTCTCTGTGTAATTGAAGCCTTTTTTTTTTTTTTCCAAACTTCAACTCAAAACCAAAAGTCTGCCAGCTTGTTGTCTTTTCAGTATCTTTTTTTTATATCTATTGGAATTCCATATTGTACACAAATATGCAAGCTATTTTGCCTTTATAAATCACTTTGCAGAGAAGAAAAAGCTTGTTTAAGCTACTTTTGCCTGGTTTTTTTTCCATAGTATCAAACTGTCATTTTTGTAGAACTCCTTTATTTCTAATTCAGCAGTTTTAATTATTTTCTATCCCAACCGTGCAATTAACAAATGCATAATCGTTAGGTTGATTAACACACATTTGAAGATTTAACTGTATATCTAATGAGGAGGAATGATTATGTAGAACCTTTCAACCCTTGAAGAGTTCTGGTACTTAATAATTAACAGCAATATATGGACTTTTCAACAATATATTTAAATAATGCTACAATGAATGCATTTCTTTCCTTGTGCTATCAACTCAGAGGAATTTACTGAAGCATAGGGACATAGTTTGTATTCAGACAAATCCTAGTATTTACTTATACATTCGCTATTTCTAGGTTGGGATTTGATGCTTTGCCTTGAGAAAGAGAAATGTTGACATTAAGCTGCCTGGTTCAGAAAGTTATAAAAGTTAAGCAATTCTGGTAATCTCTTAAAATTACAGCAGTGTACTAGCGCAACAACAGCTTTTCAGGTTGCCCAGAATCAATGCGGGGTTGATGGTGGGAATTCCTTCCTAACATCACTGTTGATAGCCTTACCCATGTGGTGTTAGGATAGTTTGTCAACCAGAGTGTCCATGCCAAGGAAACTGTTACCTTGGTGGGTGCAGATTTATAACTGATAATTTTTTTAAAGTCAAAACCATTGAGAATGCTTCAGCTGATGACTGTTGAGCAGGGAAGACTTCATAAGCAATTTGTATGCTGCTTCCAAACTGTAACTCTTTAAGGAGTCTTAGATGTGTTGGTCCCAAAACTGGACACAGACTCCAGGTGCGGCCTTATCAGCACTGAGTAGAGGGAGATAGGAACATCCCTCACCATATTCTTCCTGATGTAGTGCAGTATTGGGGTTGAGTCTTTCCAGTCGTAATGTTTTCTTTCTTATGAATGACATTACAGGAGAAAGCTGACTTCTCTTTTTTTATTCTCATTCACTTTGCTTATTAGGAGAGGTCCCAGATATTTTTGGTTCACGTACTTCAGTTAACTGATCAGTAATGAACAAATTTGAATGGTTCTTTATTAGTGCCCTTCTTCATCTGCAAATTTATTTCAGCTAATAGGTTGTCAGTGTGTAATGAACTAAAGGGATTTTTTTTTTCATGCACGTTCATGTTGCTGTTGTTTAAGTTGTTCTATTAATGGAAGAATGTTGTAAGAACAAAAGACTTGGAAGTTAGTAGTCAGTCACAATACTTTCAACCACAGAACCAGTCACAGAGATAGGTGGTGAGGAACAATAAGGAACAAGCAGGAGTATCTTGTAAAGAGTAAAGAAGCATGCTTCTGACATAATTTCTTCAAGAAAACATTTCGGACTGATGTAGGAAGGAGAAACGTATATTTTTTCTAAAGTCACTAATGTGCACATACTGCTTTATGGTTTCTGAATTTAGACTGATTAACGTGAATGCAACTTAGATCTCAGCATACCGGAGAATATGTCATTATGAACTGTTAGGCACTTTTCAAATTAAACTTGTCATAGTAATTGTGCTGTTTATTTTGTAGAAAATCTCCAGTTCATGTAGTCTTTAAATGCACTTTTACTAAATGTTATGCAGTACCATAATGCTACATTATAGCTATTTTAGATACTATATAAATATGATGAAGAAAACAGAAATCAAAGCAGTAATTATCTAGAGCTAGTGTGCAATTTAATACATTAAAAATAATCAATAATGGTTTACCTTTGCCTTGAAAACAGTAACTTTTATTTTTCTGTGTGGTAATTGTAAATCGCTTGATCAAATTTAGGCAGCAGATCAAATTAAGAAGCTGTATAATCTTTTCTTGAAAATTGATGCCACTCAGGTTGAAGTGAATCCCTTTGGTGAAACTCCAGAAGGGCAAGGTAAGAAATTGAAGGAAACAAATGAATGCATTATAATTCTTTATTTATGCAAACTATAAATTATATTGCATAGAAGGCTGTAGCAGCAGCTTTGCATTAATTTCATTTTGTAATGTAATTTAAGCGACATTCATAAATATTCCCATGGCAGATTTTACATTTCAATACCTTTTGTTATTTCATCCAAATACTGGAAGTATTGGCTTTTACATGTTATGCTTGGTGAGAAACAGCAACATTTTCTGCTCTTCTGCTCTTTGTACAAAGTTAGGTTTTTCTTGGTTTTGTTTTGTCTTGGATATTTTTTTTGTGATGTTGCAAGAATTCCTGAGATTGTGCGGAAAGAAACTCATTATTTTACGTTTGTAAACATACAGATAAGTTAAAATCATAAGTGCATGACTCTGCAACCTACTAGAGCGCAGGAGAAATTCCAGCTGGAACGGACATGCAGCTATATCCTTTGGGAAGAAGAAGGGTAATTGGTCTGCTTCCACCATGAATACAGGGCTAACAAGGTATAGGGTAAATAAAAGGAGCTGGGTTAGCTTTCATGTCATTCTAGTTGCTGGTTTTCCAGCTGAAACCCTTCTGTCTATTGTCATTATTGTAAATTAACTTGGACATTAACATTCCTAATGCCAATATTTTACGGTATTCATGTCCCCTCCCTTTTTATTTCTTCTTTTTAATTTAAATAAATAAAGGTGAGAAGTTGCGGAGCTCAGGGAAAGCTGGCCGAGACTTCAGTGTCAAAGACTGCGGTTCACAAGCACTAGTGACTTTCTAGTCTAGGCCCTGCCTACAGTATCATTTTCTGATTTGAGAGAAGTCTTTAACATCGTCAAGTGCTGGTGGGTGTTGCTTGACAAACATTAATAAAGAATACTCAAGAAAGACGATTCCAGTTTTTAACCAACTTTATAAGATATGCCTGCAGATTAAAGTGGAAATTAGAAAATGGAAAGAGAAAGCTTTTACCCATTTTAACAGACATTAGGTATGTGGCTGCTTAATTGCAGTTCTGGAAACTTAGAAAAAGATCACTGCTATGTCAGTTAAGACCATGAGCTCCTCACAGGAGTCAGTACCAATTGAAAGAATTAGCATTTTAAAAATACTTTTTATGTGCTCACAGCTAGTTTGTAAAGTAAACAGCTTTTCACTAAAAATCCATATTTTTGGCTCAGTTGGTCAGGAATTCAAAAGCTGAATTGTGGCTAGAAACTATGCAGTCTCTTCCAATTGTCCAACCTTGTTTTTCCCGTTTTATTAACAAAACAAATGCAGAAGAATTGGCAGAGAATTGTCCACAGCTTAAAAGGAAAATTCTGATGCTAATGTACTCTGAAAAAGCTCTAAAAGATGTAAAACAAATCCTGCCCTGCCCCGTTTTATTAACACTTCTTATAAAGTGCTGCTCTTTGTTATAAAATAGGCTTCAGGCCACTAAAATGCCCTATTGTAAAGTGACATTTTAAAAACAAATACAAAAAGTAATATCTTGTCCATTAAAGTACATGGGGATAATTCAGAGACAATGATAATAATGATCAAACGTGTGGTCAATTTTTTTTACATAATGAGCTGATTTCAGGTTAAATTAAGTTAGAAGAACATATTTATGGCCTAAATGTATGCATTCTGCTTTTCGAACCTTTTTTCCCTGACCTTTTTCGAATTCCTTCTTGGTTAGGTTTTTTTTGGTGTTCTTGCCGCCGTAATCTGTTAGCTCTCTGGACAGAGTTTACCCGGTGAGAATGATTTCCACCAAATGCTTTAACTCTTTTTATTTAAGAATCTTTCGCAGCACTGTGTGCTCAGATTTCCAGCTCATTTGAAGTACCATAATAATGTGCATATTGAATCAATAGTTTCTGCACTGTAAACCTCACTCAGCTTAATAAATGTAAGTCAAATTCTTAGCAACTAACTCCAGCTCCATTGGTTCTTATGCAATTTGTGAAATGTGTACTGGGGGCGGGAAACAAAAAGCCCTGCTGTTGACCAGTGTAGTTCTATTGTAGGCTGTTTTTTAAATGCAAATGGAAAATTTGCCTTCAGAACCCAACAGACTGTTGTGTTTTCCCGCCATTTAAATAGATCCATTGGCCTCATTAAAACCAGTTGGGAATGAGGTGAGAAGGATATTTTCATTTTGTATTGCACAATGAAATTAAAGCAGAACAATGAAATAGGGCCTTGTAAAATGAATGGTCTGGATTTTTCAAGTTCTAGCAATGTGCAACACATGACACTTTTGACCTTTTGAAGATGAATGGGACCTTTAAAATAGGTGCAACAAAAACTGCTGGAACTTTCCTGTGGATTATGATGTTCACTTCAAAACAAATACATTGGTATGTTTGTCTGCTATGACTGATGTACTTACCAGGTTTATTTTGTGGGTTCAAGAACACTGATACGGTAAAAACAAAATTTCCTTCCTCAAAATTTGCTGAAATAATTTTTTTAGTTGAGCAGTTGACCAAGATATCTGAACACTACAGGGCAGTGTGGAAGGTAGCCAATAGCCCTTATGCTCAGTCAGATTTCAGAAATTGGGACATCTGTGACAATTGCCTTCTATCAGGCAGAGAAATGAGCTTGAGGTGAGCTCTTTGTGCCAGGACTAGGCTGTTACGGTATTCACATTTTGCTGGTTCAAAACTAGCTCAGATGACTAGTATAGAAGCACTTTACTATTCTGTTATTTTGGCAGAGCAAAGGACAAAATCCCCAGTTCACTACCTACATCATCTCAACCATGTAATCCTGCAAGGAAGACCTTTAAGTATGTCTTGGGAATTAGCGAGTGGACGCTGTAGACACGTGCATAGACACTAAGAAGGAAGTGAGAAGGGCAGAGACAGCGCTGTCAGATAACAGAATAGGGGCATCATTGCCGTGCTGAGGACATTATTTGTCTGGGTACCAACACAGAAGGGAAATTGATAGACAAGTAGGGGCAAATGAAGGAGAGGACAGTTAGGAATGAGAGGAAACAAAACTGGTGGTCCTAAAAGGTCCTAAAGAACCATGGTGGTACTAACTTTGCATCCTTGCTGGAGTACTATGAGGTGGCACTGCGGAAGAAATGAACTGATTTGGATAAGTTGCCAACTTAGCTTTTCTGGAATGGCTGTGCAGAAAAGGGCTTAATTTGAAGGATGGTTGGAGTTTTTATGCTGTTTTCTCCGAGGTTTTTCCCCATGTGTTTCAACATCCAGGGAGCTGAGGAGCAGAAACAGAGTGGGTTTCAAGCTGTGAAAGCCATCTTACTAGCAGAGATACACAGAAGTCTTCCTGTGCTTATTTCTTTTTTGCTAGCAGTTTCTCCATCTGAAATGTCTTGAAGAAGAATAAAGATAAAACAAATGGAAGAACATTTGAGTAGCTTAATGCGGTTATTTCTAATGATAATATATAAGTCTCTGTATGAAGACCATTATTCCTGTCAAAGTAACAGTTAAGATGGATTTATTTCTTGCTGTGTTTTGTGTTTTTCACTTGTGTGAATTTCCATAAGAAAATACATTGTCATATGTATTTCCTTTTGTTTAATTTTGTAGCAAATTCTTTGTTAACACTATTGGGTCAGAAGCCTGTAACTGCCAATTTCTTTGGGTTTTTTTGTTTTGTTTGCTCTCAGTGTAAGCTGTTGAATTGGCAGATGACAAAAATCCTACACTGCTAGTAAAAACTACAGAAATACTCCATGAATATAAGTGTTGGAGCTTTCTTTGATATTTGTTTAGAAGAAAATTTCTTTTGTATAATCTATCAGGCATGTAACAATGTGCTTTTGATGGTGAAAATGGTTTGATAAATATTAATAGGTGTTTTTCCTGCTACTTTGTACAGCATGGCCTTTGTTAAAGATGAATGTTCTGTAGAAATGAGATTCTATTAATGTGACATTGAGGATGTTCATGTTTAAGGTAAACAGAGCTTTGAAACTGCAGTTTTACTCTAGCTTTGAGGGTTTTTAGCAATTTAAGGAACTGAAAGCTTGGAGAAGAAAAATGGTACACTTAGTTCATTGTTAAAAAAAATTAAAGGAGTAGAAGCATATTGTGAACTTCAGACATTTTTCCTTTTGGTAGATTCCCACATGATGGTTGACTGGGTAAGATCGAGACTCTTCCAAGAGAGATGTATTATATGCAAACACTCATGAACAATTTTCTGAAACTGCAGTCACTGAAACTAAATTTGATCCTGTTTTAATTTAATCTGGTATCGGTTACAAATCAAATGTATTTAGAAAAACCACAGAAACCCCAGCAACATCAGAAATCCAAAACAAGAAAACCCAATGCAAATCAAGACATACAACTGAGACTCTCCTACTTGTGTAAATGTTTCGTTTGCTGTTTGCTTAGATATTTTCTCCTAAGTTAAGCAATTTTATATTTTACCAAAAAAAAAAGAGAGAGAGAGAGAGAGATTTGTCCACCAAAAAAGATTGTGTGATTAGCTATTTTAATTGATGGGTATCTATGTAAAAGACTAAAAATTGTCTTTTTAGTTGTAATTGGCTTCTAGTTGCAGAGTCTTTTACAATGCTCATGAGCAGGTGTATAGGTACCATGTATGTGTTTCAATGGCAATATGAATCAAAACACAGCAGAAAGAAAAACTATTCGATTTTTCTGGATGCAGCATTTAAAGGCACTTAAATCTGACTGGCTTGCATTGAGAAATCAATTATAATTCAGTCAGTAATTATAATCTGGATATAGTACAAATCTTAAACAGTGAAACAATAAGTATATAGTTCTACATTTACTTAGAACATTTTAATCTAATGAGGTGTTTGCCTATGCAAACCCATAGAAATAATAAATCAATAAATAGGCAAATAACCAGTTCACTCTACATGCATTTCTTTTACTGTTTGTATTTATGTGGATATTATATCTACTAGCTAGTCTTTGGTACCTATTATTTAATATAGTCAGGTTTAGCTACTTTTTAATCTGTTTTTACAACCATAGCAGATGTTGACATTGATGAGAAGTTTTGTATTTACTTTTAAAATTTTCTTTATTTAAAAGTCATCTTTTGATCATTTTTAACATACATTGGCTTAAAGTTGTTTTAATTTAGATCTTTAGGGAAATAATGTATGTATAGCTAATAACATTATAAATTAAAACAATGGCTAAGGAAAGCATTTTGTATTGCTCAACTATAAATGAGTGCCTGTTACCAAACACTGCTTTGGATTGCTAACCTGTTATATCTGTCACACTTTCAGAATACTGAAAGTAGACTCTCTTATGAAACTATGCAGACCACCCGTCCACATCATAAAAACTGCCTTCATGACTTATGGGAACTTTGTTTAAAGCAAACATAGAAGATCATCCCTTGACAAAGGCACATGACTGTGTAGTGGGGAGACGCTTGCCGTACCTTTTCTTAATATAGGATTTGAGGAAAACTTGCCCTCCTTTACTGGACTCAATGCTAGAACTTCAGTTGATCACATGTTGGAAGCAGCATCAGTCCCTAAAGCAACCCTCTCCCCCTCCCTGCACTAGTAGTTGATGTAATATTTCAGAAGCTCTGACTAACTGTAATCTCTAAATGCCTGTATGTTGTTTTGTATTTTTTTCTTTAGTTGTTTGTTTTGATGCCAAGATAAACTTTGATGACAATGCAGAATTTAGGCAAAAAGAAATATTTGCCATGGATGACAAGTCTGAAAATGAGCCTATAGAGAACGAAGCTGCCAAATATGATTTAAAATATATAGGACTGGATGGAAATATTGCTTGCTTTGGTAAGAACAAATAAATCCAAAAGGCATTTGAAGACAAATTCATACTTGTTCAGTGTATAGACTTTGTTTACATTCTGACATTCAATCCACCCTTGACAGTATTTCAGTCTATTTTGCTGAGGTTGTCTGTCCTTCCACAAGTTCTTGCAGGAATGAAACTGAAGTTATGTTGAAACTGTGATGAAGGCCACGGCAGCAGACAGGCAGGGCATGTGAGATGTCAGAGAGAAGACAGGCTAAGGGAGAGGCCTGTGGGGTTTCTACGTTCTGAATTTTTAAGCTGATGCAATTGATCTTTCCAGTAATTAAAACAAAACAAGAAAAGTCATCAAAATTTGATCATTAATTTTCAAAAATGAGACTCTGTTGCTCAGAAGGCACTGCAAAAGTGTGTGTGTAAAAACATGATATTCCCATTTATGAATTGAGCTCCATTTCTCTTTTAAGAACAGCTGCTGAAGAAGCTGCTTGGTTGTTAAAAGGAAAATACCAGTTTCTTATTTTCCTCAAGTTTCTGTAGAACAGAAATTACTCTTGTGTTTAGAAGTGAGCAGTAGAAAAGTCATCTATGCTCTAATAATTTTCATTTTGTACAAATTCTTTTAGCCAGTACAGCATTTTATTATGAATCTAATTTAGCTTGGTGAAATGACTAGTTTTAGAAAATGCCCGGTATTTACATTGCTTTGATGTATACTCTAACCACAAATCTAGGAGATACTGATAATATGTTGCAGTTGATTCAGTAAGTGACAGTGAGATTTTAATCTCAATTTAAAAAAAAAAAAAACCCAAACCAAAAAAACCTCAAACAATAATTGGCAACACTACAGTATTTTTTTTTTTTTTAGTATTAGATATTGCTGTTGAATTACAGGTGACACAGAAGCCTTACTTTGTCCAGCAGGAGCAGCTTACTGGGGACAAATAATTCACATCTACTTTTCCTAGCTTAGAGGATGTTCGTGCCCATGGGAATGCTTCTAGACTGGTGCAAACACAAAATAAAAGGCAGTTTCAGTAGCATCTGATATCTTCCCCAAAATTTAGTCATCTGTTTTACAGTAATACAAAGCATCATCTACTGCTATCAGAATGATGGGAGGGGAGCTTAAGGAGTCAATTTGCCCTTCACGTCTCGTGATGTGATCACTATTCCCAGAGTTTTTGTGTGTGTCTTTTTTTTTAAATCAGAAGTTTTTGCATTTCCACAATTACCATTCCAGTATTCATATACGCTTAAGGGAAGGTGCACATCTAAGTCCTAAAATTGATACAATCATAAAGAAATCTAAATGGTGTGTATGGACCAGATTTTGAATTATTTGCTGCGCTGAATATCCTTGAATAGATACTGAGCTATTTAGAAATAAATATTTATGTAACGTTTTGAACAATGTTACGTGGTTGTGCTGATACTTTTCACAAATCTTGTATACTTTTATGTGAAATATAAACACTTGATGTTTACAATTACAGTCAATGGAGCTGGGCTTGCAATGGCAACATGTGATATAATATCCTTGAACGGTGGAAAGCCAGCCAACTTCTTGGATCTCGGTGGAGGTGTGAAAGAAGCACAAGTATATCAAGCATTCAAGCTGCTGACTGCTGATCCAAAGGTAAAAAAGTTGGTTTGGGACCAGAAGCTTCCCCATGCAGCAATAGAGCTGTGTTATAGGACTGTGAATAGTATGCTGAAAAATACAGATAATGGTGTGAACACTGAGGATGAGTTACTAAAGGGGCAATCTGGGAGGAAATTATTTCACTGTGAGCCACTGGACTGACTTTTCAGTTCCTGACCCACACTCAAGTTTGCTGGTCAGTCTTGAATGGGTATTTTCTCAAGGCATTTCAACACAGAAATGCAGATGTTAGCAAATAGCTAATTCTAAAGACTGATTTGTACTCTTTTAAGCTTGAGGTTTCTAAAATATCTGATTCTGCGCTGCAGGATAGTCTCTGTTTAATTAACATTCCCAGGCTGGAATTGTAGCCTGGTATGTTCTAACGCTTCCTTTGTAGGTGGAGGTGCCGTTGCTCTTTTCTTTTTGAACAACAGGAGAAGACATTAGTCTGTCTGTATTGAGTAGAAGTTATTTCTAGAGATGCATGTTAGCATGCTGAGGTCATTGGTCCCCTTCGCAGACAGAAGTAGAATATCTACTGAGAGAATATTGATCAGACATAGGCATTGGAGCAGTGCCAGCTGACCATCCCTGCCAACGCAGAGTTATGCTTTTGTGTGTAGCCAGAACTTATTGCTGTAGTTTGGTTTTTTTTTTTTTTTTAACTAATGAAAATCTGTCGAAGGTCTTTGATCATCTTTTCCATCTCCTGCACCTAAGCATCTTTGCTGAAGTCCCAATTTCAACATCTTGCTTCTCTTTGTGGATCTGGCTTTATCTGCTTTATCTCTCTTTTTCTGTGCTTCCATCCATTTTCCTCATGTTCATTGTGTCTGTGATGATAGCTCTTCTAAATACCACCTTCCAGTGGAAATTGCATCGCTGTAATTTTATACCCCATGCAGCAGTAAGTGACAAAATGTTGTGACTTTTCAAATAGAGGTGGATATTGTTTGGAGCAAAATTTCAAGGCAAAATCAGGAAGAAAATTTACAGTACAGAATAAGCACAGCTCGACTTCATATTGTAAGCTCTTTGCAGTTGTAACTCTCCTTGCATGTTTTTAAGGCACATAGTACCTTGATGGCTCAACTGTGCTAGGGAGAGTCATCTGCAATATTTAGAACATACTTCTTGGATCTTTTTGCACTCCCGTAGACCTGGGTCGTGCTGACCTTTTGTTTGTAGAGCTCTAGGTTTATGTTATTCCCAAGACCCACAGGAAGAGAACTGGTTGTCTCCTACTTACTGACCTGATAAGCTTCAAGTCATTAACATGCCTAAAAGAACACAGACCTGGAGAAGTAGAGAAGCAAGATACCTTGCCTGGGGCAGAAGGGAGGCAGGATGGGACTTGAGGTTCATGCTAGAAAACCTGATAGTTTCCTTCATTGTCTGATGCTAGTAGACACTGTAATGCTTGTCTTCATTTGTGGGAATTTTAGCTATTCTCAGGACATTACACGAAGATTTGTTTGTGAGTGTTTGAGCTGTTCTGCAGTGCGTGCTTCGTATGATGATAAAGGTTTGGCTGAGATGTAATTTAGTTCTGAAACTTGTGTTAGTGGTGGAGAAGCAGGTGCAGTAAAGTCTTAGATACACAACTTAGCAGATGATTATCACTATGCTAAATAGGTTCTTCTGTCTGCTACAGCACAAAGAGCAGGTATTAATTTTGGTGGTGAAACTTACTGAGTTTAAACAATTTTAAAACAAAAAGGCATTTCAGTAGCTCTCAGCTATATATATCATCTGCATGCCCAACACTTGACTTGTAAATCTATCCTTCTTCTATTATATATTACTGCTTAACACTAGCTGCTTACCAGGGCTAGCGAAGCTATGCTAATTGAGACAGTGGGGCAAAGTAAAAGGTAGCATGGAAAGGACCTGAAGTAGGCAGTCAGACCTGAAATATGCTTGTGTCTATGCACAGCTGTAGCTGTGCCATTCCTGGCTTTGACTGGCTGAAGATGCAGAAGGCTTTAGCCTAAATGCAGCACAACTCATTCCTCATTAATTTGTTGCCTCCTCTCTTCCTTTTGAATGCCTTTTCTGATCTTTTCTCCAATCATAGGAAGAATCACAGAACAACTCCATTGCATTTCCCTTTTGTTCTCTTTATTGCACTCCGGGAAAGAAAAGGGAAGATGACTGCTTAGAGTCCCGCTAGACTCTCTAATTTGGTATGGTGCAGGGGAGAGAGGGTGCTTCTGAAAGCTGTCTGCTTCAGGGAACATAGTCCATAGCAAACTTGGATGCACGTATGTAAGTGACAGCATTGTTGGCCACAGACATTGTGTTTTTATTGAGATTTAATGCTGTCGCCCATTTTTAAGTTATTGACATTAGTTCTTTTGAGCCTAGCCCTGCACATGACCAGTCATACCACAGCTCTTATCCCTGAGAGGCTTGCCAGGTTTAAGTGAGTCACTTCTGTACTTTTTCTTGTCAGCCCTTTCAATTTGACTGATTTTGCCTTTATTTTACATCATTGTGACCATCAGCAATACTGTTTCAGTTCTTTATGACATGAAGTGAAAAACTTCTCTTAACAGTAACTGATGAAGAATATGTATGAGATTGAATTAGGATTAGGGAAGATATGCTGATATCCCGGTACATAATAGGAGACTGTAGCAGCCCTGGAAGTTATATCAGCCTAACATCAAAGCCCTTGTTTTTCTTACTGCTCTGCAGGTGAATATTAATATAAGTTTACTAGTTATTAAAAAAATAAACATTTCATGTTTTATTTCATTCTGTTCAGAAAAGACAGTAAATGTCTGGTTTTTCCTCTCCTCATACACCATGTCTATTAGCTTACTAATATACAGTAAGATAATTGAATGAAGCCTCTCTTTTCTTAACTAGTAGTAGGCTTTCAATCCCAAGAGTCATTGTGGCTAATCCAGCAGTCACAGTTTGTATCTGGTCAGTCATTTCCCTGTAACTTAACCTGATTCCCACCTTGTTTGAGAAGATAAAAATTTGCTCCTGGGAACTTGAGGGGCAATTAATTGTTGTAAATGTCTCCAAACAACATTGAGCCTCTGAGGAATGACTAAACAAAAAAAAAGTCTGCAGGGCTGTAATATGGAGAAGCACTGTCTTCTAGCTGCACTGAAATATGGCACTGGCAGCGTTAAGGACATTGCAAGAGAAGAAATCTTCCAGAAGGAAATGTTCAATTGCACTTTGAAATAGATCTCTTTCCCGCTCTTTAGTTGTCTTTAAAATGTCTATTTTGTATTAAAGCAAAAAAATACAGGTATGCCATGATTTGATTTAGTGTAGCTGTGGATATTGTTTTTGAGAAAAATGAAGATCTTGGCTGGTTTGCTGCTGGTTTAAGCTGGCTGTTATCAGTGTCTCTGATTCTTTTTTTTTTTTAAAAAAAAAAAAAGTAAAAAAGTTTTTTGTGGGTGGTTTTTTTTTGTTGTTGCAAAAGGTTACCCACTAGCTTTTGGATGGAAATGCTGTCTCTGGAGTCAGTGACTCTTTTGTACTCTGCTGGTCTTGTTTGCAGTCTGCCATATCCAATACTTCCTAGGTCAGACAGGTCATTGCAATGGTTCTGAATTGCTTTCTTTATCTAAATTCTGGACTTTTTTTTTTTTTTTAAATTCCTTCCTGCCTGTCTTGTTCTATGAGTTTGTGCCGCGCATCTGCTTTGGCAGAAAATGAACCGTCTTCCCTCTTTTCAGGTAGTAACAGGAAAGGGGATGATGGCTCAATTCTGGGTGTTCGAGCTGCTGGGAGGCACTGCAGGAACTTCATTGCTCCGCTTTGTCCCACAGTCAAGTAGAAGAGGTTGTTTCCTTCAGTATTTCAGAGGTTCTGAGTGATGCCTGGCTCTCCCCTGCATGTATGAAGTGCTGTTTCAGCCATCCTCACTGAAGTCCTCATCCTTGAGTACTCTCACATCCTTACCAAGCTCAATAGGTGCTCGTTTTTATTCATGCTGAAGACCTGGACTGTTACATTTACCATATGACTGTTTGTAGGATTCAACAAAGTTTTGGAAAGGCTAAAGCTGAAAAAAAACAGTCTTGTCAATAAATCTACTGTCCCGGGCACTGAAGCTTGGTTGCCATCTCAGCTGTCTGCTTTGGCCTGGAGTCATTCCACATATCTGACTGTCCTAAATTCCTGCAGGTTTTTCTCTCAGCTTTTTTATACACATTGCAGAGGGAGTCAACATCAAGTTTAAGGTGTCGGGCTGGCTGAATCCTGTTTTTGAAGACCCTAGTGAGTATGAGAGCCCATAATGACTGGGCTCTTGGTGAGTTGTATTTAGTGACTACAATAAGGCAAAGGCCAGAAGCATCTTACCGACAACCTGAAGCAAGTCACATCCTCTACCTTTTTCTCCCATGCTGTCTTGATAGAATAAAAATAATACTGTATAGGTTACTGGTATAGGAGAGTTGCCCATTAATGCTGACATAAATGCTATGTGTACTTGAGATGTGACCCAGATGCAGGACTACATAGTGTTTCCTCAGGCTTTTGGCTATGCACCGTCCCTTTCCCTTGTTCTGTCTCCCTAGCAGGAGCTGAAATACAAAAATATGAGTGAAGCAAACTAAGCTGTAAGCTGTTTTGCCATTGAATGGCTCTAGTCCTGAACTTAACAGTTGAATCCTAATAGAAAGTAACGCTGAAATTCGGGTGGTTAAAGGCCAAAATTGTTTGTTGTTCTTGTTCTCCTTTTCCCCCTAAAGCTCCTTTGACAATCTTTTCTGAAGCCTGGCATTGATGATACAACTAAAGACTTACCAAATCAATTGATGTTAACAAGTGTTTGCTTGTCATATAAGCAAAATACTATTGACAGATCGACAAACATCTCTCTGGAAAAAATATTCCATATTGACATCTGTTAACTCATATCCAGGGAATAATTAATATCAAACACACACAAAACTTAATTTATTTTTTTTCTTTAGCTATTCTTTAGTCCAAATTCAAATTATTGTTTTACTGAT